AAAAAAAGGTATTGTGCCCATCTACAACTAACTAACTAACTAAATAAATAAATAAATAAAAGTCTTTACAAAAAAAAGTAATCTTCATCTGTTTTATCTGTAAAGGCTTCCAAATTCACTAATTTCACTATCAAATCTTTTGATCTTTTGAGAACTAAGCAATAATTTCCTGATTTGCCAAGGATTAAATTTAAATGCTCGGGAGAACATGAGCCTTCTCTCTAAAACCATTACTTTTAATTGACAGTATGTTAAAGGATAACATGAGGGTATTAGTTGACATTATAGTCTATTGCAATGGAAATGTGTTTGTAGTAAGATTGTCTCAAACAAGTTTTAGGGGTACAGAGACTTAAAGGCAAGAAATAAATCATATGAAAAATGCATCCTCTAAATGTTGAAGTGCCACATGAGTTCAGACTCTCAGTGAGCTCATCTTGCTTCCTGGTTTTAAATACTATCTACACACTGATAGCTCTCAAATTTATATCTCCAGGTCAGTCCTCTCCTCTGAACTCCAAACTCACACATCTGTCTTCTGGATCTTTAATAGGTACTTCAACCCTAGGATGTCCACCCTGAGCTCCTGACACAGTCCTCTCCCTGCCCAGTTCTGCTCACAATCTTCTGCATCTCAGGAAAGGTCAACTTCCTCTCCCAGTTGCAGAGGCTGCAGAAATCAGGAGTAATCCTTGACCTCTCACTCCTCAACAAATCTTATCAACTCTACCTTCAAAATATAATCAAAAGATGCTCATTTCTCCCCACCGTAGAGCTTTCAAGTTACCACCATTTCTTGCCTGGATCACTGTGATCCATCCTGAACCCGTCTCCCTGCTTCTGCACTTGTCTTCCTTAGCTTTTTTTCTAACATAGCCCCCAGAATGATCCTATTACAATCTCAGTCAGATTATGTTACTCCTCTGCTCAACTCCTCCAGTGATTTTTCATCTTATCGAGTATGACCCAATGTCCATTGGTCACTTATTGCCCTCCTCTTTTCCTCCATGCTGGACTTCCTGCTGTTTACTGCACAGGGCCTTTGCATAAGCTATTCCCTCTGCCTGGAATGCTCTTTCCTCAGGTATATTTATGGATTGCTTTCTTTCTTCCTTTAGGTCTTTATTTAAAATCATCTTCCCAGTGAGGCTTTCTGTGGTCATTGATTTATACTTAGTACTTCCATCCTCCTTTCTTGCTTTCTCTCTGTGGCATTTGTTTAACATACCATATATTTTGCTTATTTTTACTGATAGCATCTGTCTCGCCTCTAGAATATAAGCTCCATAAGGTAGAGATTTTTTGACTGGGTATCCTTTTCTCCTAGAGAATTGCCTGATACATAGTGTAAATGTAATAAAAATGAGTTGGATAAATAACTTAAAAAAAAGGTGATGTATGTCATAAGAATTAAGGTCTATTAATGAAATCATGATTAATCAAGCTATGAACCTAATTTCTAAAAATGTATCTTATGTTGTTAGGTTTTCATGGAAATTTGTCTTTGGAGCAACTTTTGTCTTTATTTTCTATAAGAACAGGATTGATTTATCTTTGCAACAAGAAACTTCAGAGATAAGTGTTCAAGAAGGAAGAGGATGGTGATAAATATAGATGGATATTAAATAATGCCTATTGTTTGTCATGTTGGATGAGCTAATGAGTTTTTAAAATTATTATAACATAGCACTTACTATTCATAGCAATCTGAAGTTAGAAATGAAAAAAAAAGTTGCTCATTGATTGAATTAGCAGTGTCTGGCACACAGTAATGTAATATATAAAGAAAGTTGACTTGGATACAATCCAAACAGCTTAGCTATTGATGTAGTTTTATTTCCGAAGTGATTCTACAGTAAAGGCATGGCGTCCAGGTTGGTTACAGTTAAACTCTAGAAGAAAATAAGGGTTAGGGTAATGAAGATACTATCTTTAGACACAAGAATTATAAATACTTAGTTGATATTCTTTATCATATTATAAGGGAAACACTTAGTGAATACACAGACTAAAAGCTTTCATGTTAGGGTCTGTAAACAAGTCAAGATGGCGCCTGGCATTTTGCCAGGGGGAGTGGTTTGTGAGGTGGCCCCAGAGAGCCATTAAGTGTGGAGATTCCTTATTGGTTGACTTCTGTATCTAGTTTATGTTAATTAAGAAAAACTATGTGAAATATATATATACACACCCCTCCTGTCCTACAATAAACGGCTCCTACTCCTGCTGTATCAATGTACACAAGCTGCTCATCACCCCCCAGTTATTTTGCTGCAGCCGGACTATGGCACTTTCATATGAACCAAAGATGAAAAGGGCAATGTTACTAGTCAGAATTAGAGGTAGAATGACAGAATGGAAAGATAAGGGGTGGGAGACCTGAGTTTCAGCCTTCACTATGCCATTAACTGGCTATATGACTTGGGGTGGGCTGTTTAAGCTTTCTTAGTTACCTCATCTGCAAAATGTGAGGCTAGACTGATCAGATTCAAGGTTCCCTGAAAGTTATACAATTGTTTGATTTCAAAAAGAAACTACAATAAAGTAAGGAGATTATCCTGAATTATTGGCACCCATTGTAACCTCAGGGTTCCTTTAAAAGCAGAATGGTGAAGAGTGAGAGTGATGCCACATGAGAAACAGACCAACCACTGCTGTCTTCAAGGACAAAGGGGCTATGACCAACTGAGGAACACAGGCAGCCTCTAGAAACTGGAAAAAGAAGCCAACAGTCATTGCTAGAGCTTTAAGAAAAGAGCCCAGCCCTATTGACACCTTGATTTTAGCCCAATGAAACTTGTATTAGACTTCTGATGTTCAGAAGTATGTAAAGGACAAATCTGTTAAGATTTTAAATTTGTGATTTATTTCAGGAGCATTAAAAAATAATACAATAATGATATGCATTGTAACCAGCAAAGTTGGCCCCAGGTTTATCACAGATGCAGGATTTTTATAAAAATCCTACATTCAGGCTGAGCATGGTGGTGCATGACTAATTTCAGTTCTTCAAAGGCTGAGGCAGGGGGATAGCAATTTGAGGCCAGCCTCAGCAACTTAGTGAGACCCTAAAACAACAGTGAAACGGTCTCAAAAAAAAAAAAAAAAAAAAAAAAAAAAAAAAAAAAAGAAAAGGGATAGGGATATGGCTCAGTGGTTAAGTGCCACTGGGTTTAGTGCCTTGTACCAAAAATCTTATATTCAGAAATTTTGGAAAAATCTTCCTTATGATGAAAGGGAAGCCATTGCAGGGAGCAACACAGGTTTTAAAAACTTGTCTTGGGTGGAGTGTGAGCAGGGAATTGGAACAGGGCCAGCCAGGAGCTGGCTCCACAGTTCAGGGAGGGGCTGGCCTGGTCTGCCTGTGGGCAAGTGCAGAGTCCGGAAAGGAGGGGGGAAGCACTCAGAGATCTTCTGGAGGCTGGCCAAGAAGGCCTCTAGGCTGGTGTCACACAGGCAATTGAAGGTAGGGGTCTAAGGCTGTTACCCCTGAATAAATTATATATACTTATTCCATTATAAAGGACCTGGCATGCTAAGTAGGATACAATCCACATGCAGATGTGATTGTATTCATTCAGGGGATGACAATGACTCAGGGTAGAAGGATGGTCACTAGGGCCACCAACCCCAAGGAGCTGAGCAAAGGCAGGTGCAACCTCTGTGACAATGCTCCTAATAAGGGAAGTGCTTTTGTAAAGTTAAAGCACCTGCCCACCCATTAAAAGCCCTATAAAGGAGACAGGTGACTCTTGCCTCTTGGTGGCTCAAGAATGAAACTATGTTCTTGTTCCTCCCTCCACCCAACTTTGGGCTCTGCAGATTACCACCCAGGAATGAGGACACAGCCCTGGCAGACAGGCAGGCAGCCAGGAAGGGGCCTCTTGGGAGAGTTCCTAGAACTTCTGGTGGAGTGTGGCTCTGGATTGTAGAGATAGGTCTGGGGTCCTTGAGCCCTTTAGCCCAAGAGGGTTGGGGAGGGGTTAGTATTTCCAGATAAGACTAATAAAAATAAATAAGGCCAATAAAAATAAAGAACAGGGCTGGGGTTGTAGCTTAGTGGTAGAACACTTGCCTCACAAGCATGGATTTGGTGACTTATTTCTACTGTTATCCTTTGGCAAAACAAGATTTAGGGACAGATGAGGTCTTACTGCAGTATGCCTAATAATTTTTTAATGATATAAACCCTCATTATAATAAAACACTGTTCAACCACACATTAAACTGAAACAATCTGAGAAGTAGGATTTCCTTAAAATATTTGATTTTTTTCATACAATTAATTTTGTAGTTAGAAAATCAATTTTCATTAAAAAAAGATGACAAATCAGAAGGATCTGTTCTCCAAAGTCATGGACCTAATTCGTCTATCTTCATTTAGCACGTTTTTGGCTCCTGCTTGATTATATATTTTTAGTGGTTGTAAAGATTGTTTATGGATTTTTGTTTTGACTCACACTTTGGTTACCATAAGGTAACCCGTGATTACAATACTGAAAAGCAAGCTGTAACCGTAAAATACGGCAGGAATGCCAATAATCAATACAGTGAACGGTGTCTTTTTGACCCCTGCTTAACTCATTATTTTACACAACAAGCTCAGACGAAGAATACCCAATTCAGATAGTGTTTCGGCTGACAAAATACTTAATCTAGTCCTCACAACAACCCTGTGAGGTGGGCCTATTCTAGGAGGTAGGATGACGTGGCAGTCACCTGGCAGGTCACGGGGAAGGTGCAGCAGCCTGGCCAAGGAGACAGGCGTAGGTCTGGAGGCGCTTCTGATTATACTGGAGCCTTCACTAAACCCTGCCCTCTACATCCCTCCCCTGCCATGTACCTTTTCAAACCCGAATTCTCCCTTTTCCATATCAGAAAGGCGGGCTGCGGGTTGGGGAAACCTGTAGCTCACACCCAGGGCGACCCTGTCGGTCCCCAAAGTCCCAGTGCTGAGCACCGTCCACCCACTCCCGCGAGTCGCATGCCGGCGACAGACTAACCTGACCAGGTCGGTCACGCAGGAGCCCACCACTACCACCGCCGCCACCTCCTCCTGCCACTGCCTCCGAGGCTCCCCAGACGCCGCCATGGCTAGATGAGGTGCTGTCCAACCTGGACTCTACCCTTTGCACTTTGCCGGACCCTGTAACCAGAGATGCCGCTCCTACCCTCTTATCGAAGCGGGCCTTTCACACGCCTACGCGGGTCGCCCACCCGAATGCCCGAACAACCCCGCCCGACAACGGCCCCCAGTTCTTTCAGGAATTGTCTCCCGCACCGCCTCATGTTCCAGGACCCTCCTAATACTACGAGTGCCAGGCTCCTCTCCACGCGCGAGGCAGGCGCTGACCCAGAGCTTTCAGGCACTGCGGGGACGCCTTTCCGAGCTCCAGGCAGGAGCGGCACGGGGGCGCGCACGCCGCCAGACTCCCGAAGGGGGCGGGGCGGGACGTCCGGGAGCGCGCACGCATCCGGCCCGCGGTGCGCGCTCAGGTCGGTGCGTCGGTCGGGGGCGCGCTCGGGTAACCTGTACCCCACGTAGTCGCCGGTTACCGATCGGACTAAGTTCCAGGTACCAGGACTGGGGCTGGTGAGGGGAGGTTGGATCCCGAGTCGCACAGGTGGCGCAGAGATCGATGGCCAGAGGGCTTGCCTACTCTTCCTATAGAGAAGGCCCCCTGTTTCAAAGATGCCCTGCTCACCCCCATCACGCTAGTCCACTCAAGAACGAGTCCCCCAAACCTCAGAGTTACCTGTCTCCCTTTCTGGCCCACCCCTTGGTCCCTAATGAGCCCTCAGGGTGATCCCTCTTTCCGCTTGATGAGGGGATCATACAATTTGGGAGAAGGGGGAGCGTCCTCTTTTAAATGTTCTTGGAGTTGGGTGGTCATTCTTTGAGTCTGAAACGATTTGTTTTTCCTGATTTTGCCCCTTGGAGAAATTGCTTCCCCAGTGTGACTTCCCTCGTGTGCTGTATGACGTTGATGTGACGCAGCAAGGGGGGCCACCCCTTTCCGTTCCATGACGTCAACCGGACACGTGTTTCCGTGCTTGTCATCCTATCCTAATTGCAAGAGCCTGGACAGTGCTTTAGACGTCTTTGTATTCCCCAGGCAGCCTACCAGAAGACCTGATGTGACCTTATTTTGGGGCATTTTTGCATTTTCCTTATGCAGTACGTCAAAATCAGGAAATACAAATTGCAGAACTAGCATTCAAAAGAGGCTGGCTACCCCAAATTTCTGGCTATCTGGAATCTGTTACAATATTGCCATTGTCTCATTTGTCTTATTTGGGGGGAAGTGGACCAACCCATGTCCCTGCACACTGCACCAAAGGACCACCTTGTTTGGTTGTTGTTCAATGACCCGATTTTGGAACCAGTATTCTTTCCCTCTTTCTTAGATAAGTCACTCCTTCTCATGATTGAAAAAGATGTTAATCCTGCATGGGATCTAGCACTATCAAAAAAAAAAAAAAAATAGTACTATGACTGTTCCAGAAATAAAGACAAATTCATTCCCTCAGTGTCATCCTAAAGTCATGATACTTGCTGAATTGTTCACTGTTAGTATGGTTAGCTTCTGGTTCAGGTTTAGAATTTAACTATTGAATCATTCAAGCCAACTTCAGCAGTAGGTCCATAGTAGTCCAGTTTGTCTCTGGTTTTGAAACAATCATTTATTTAAATTCTGACTAAGTCTTGATGTCAAGAAAAAAAAAATCACCTTGATGTTTTTTAATTTATGTGATTTTTTAAAATTTATGTTATTTGATAGGAAGACAGGAATAGTGGATTTTGAGAATCCTCAAAATTCGAATTTGAATTTAAATTCTCATCTGTTTGCCATGTTTGTGACTCTGAATAAGTATCTTGCTTGCAGAGCTTCAATTTTCATGTCTGTAGAATGGGGACAGTATTCACCAGGGAACAGAGTTGTAGGGGGAAGTTAATAATTTAGGAGGTGAATAATTTAATCTGTCAGTAGTCGAGATTGAAAATTTGTTGATTCTGTTACCCCCCTTTCTTTTTGTAGAAACGAGAGGTAAAATAATAGTAGGTACTGTGGGGAAAAAAAAACATGGAAGAATAATATCTATGAGATCCTTATGCTTTTTTTTCTGAGGTGAATATTTGTGTGTTTGCTTATGATCTAGATAAGCATCCTTTCAGGAACTGTGACATCAGTGGATAGAAATAAAGTTAGAAATGTTGCAGAATAGGAAGAAAAGCCTTCAAAATGATTATGTGGATTAATATACTGTACAACCCCCCCCCCCCCAGTTATCCATATCATCTGCAAAATGGGAATTAAAATACCTGCCTTACTACCCAGGTTGTTAAGAGCAACTGTAATAATGTATGTGAAAACTCTTTGTAAGTGATAAAATGTTATAAAGTAAAGGTGATTTCTATGGTTGATAGTATAATGCGTAAATTTTTTTTTCCTTGTGATGACAGTGGTGGAGGTAGGTCATCTGCTAAAGAGTTAGAATAGGAGCTTTTTTAATATTTGCAGAAAAGATCATTTGGGAACTAAACACATAAAGTATAAAGCTTTTGCTACCCCAGAGGTACTTCTTGGTTTCATCACTAAAGAGTGTGACAAAGTTCTTATTTTTTGAAAGATCACTGCAGCCCTTCCCTTTATTGCTGTCTGAAATGAAAAACAAATACTAAATACCGAAAATAGTATTTATTGTAATTTTTTCAACATTTGTATGTTCTCATGTGGCATAATTCATGAAAAACTAGAATGAGAATATCAGTTTCTTGTAATTGTAACTGGATGGAAACTTATTTGTTTTTGATGTGGGATTATTCTTTCATGTCGAGGAAGAAAGTGATCATTTAAATTGAATTATTCACCTCGGAAAGTAGGCTTTCATTTAGAATTCTATTAAGAGGAATTCATGTACTCCCTCTTTAGCCCCATGAGTTTCCAAGTAATTTAGATATGATTTATTGGTTTTGCTTTATATTTTCAAGTATAAGGACTTCTCAGTGCCTTAAAGTCGAAGACTGAAAGATTTGTATTAGTCTGTGTTGCTTAGCATCTACATAGGTGTGTGTTTTCATGATTTAATTGTTATGTAATTTTTTCCTCTCATTTTGTTACATTTATTCTCCTGCCAAAATTTTTATGGGAATATTATATTTTTCCTATCCCTAAATATTTTTCTAGCATTTGTCCTCTTACTCATTTGTAAAATGTTACTGAATGCTTAGTGTTTGCCAGATACTTTTGTTAAAACACTAAAGATTCAAGTCCAAGTAGGGACAAGCACACATAAGCAGGGGGTTAGAATACACTGTGGAGGAAGGTATAATAGCTGTAAATAATTTCCGGTAAGTAAGAATTGCAAGCTATTTGTGCTTGTTTTAGAATTTAAAATATTATTATAAATTTTTTACTCCTTGTGGGGATACCAAAGAAGAGCTTCTTAACTGAGCGGAGTATTTTTTTGTATGCTGGGAAATAATTGCTAGTGAATGCTTCTTGGTCTGAACTGAAGTGGGAGAGGCAGTAAAAAGATAGAGGGGGACAGCTTGTTGTTGTTTTGAGATAGGATCTGTGTTGTCCAGGGTGGTCTTGAACTTGTGACCCTCCTGCCTCAGCCTCCTGAGTAGCTGATATTATAGGTACACAGCACTATGCCTGGCTAGAGTGGAATAGCTTTAAATAGAGTAGAGCAAGAATCATCTTCAGAAAGGAGGAGAGAGTTGTACTTCAAGGGTTCTGTCTCTAAAAAGCAGTGGTGCAGTCTATGTTCTGAGTGGCTGAGCAACAGGGAAATGATTTCTTTCGGAGGGTCATTGCAAGAGGCTCCTTAGAGGGGGAAATGAAGTATTTATTCATGCAAGGGAAAATTCTGAGGGCTGTGCCAGCTTTTAGGAAGCTTTGTTGTATCTAATTTTTTGTTGTTGTTGTTGACTCTGATCATCATTCTTTCCTTTTGCTTTCAGTGGTAGCTTACAAGTCAAGTTAAAATGTCCCCAGAAGTGGCCTTGAACCGAATTTCTCCAATGCTTTCCCCATTCATATCTAGTGTGGTCCGGAATGGAAAAGTGGGATTGGATGCTACAAATTGTTTGAGGATAACAGACTTGAAATCTGGGTATGTACCAGAACTGATTCAACCTTTACCTAATAATAAACATTTCTTACCAGAGTCATAAAAATGAATACCACAAACATTCCTCAAGTCATGAACTCATCATGTGCTGATTCAATTGCTTTTTTTAAATATTTATTTTAATTTTACTTTGTGATATTGGGGATTGAACTCAGGACCTCCTCCATGCTAGATCAGCACTATGCCACTAAGCCACATCCCCAGCCTGATTAATTGGTTTTGTTTCGTTCTTCACTTTTTATGTTTCATGTATTTTTTTTTTGTGTTGTGGGCCATTGTATGACCAGAATGTTCATTTCCCCGCCACCCCTCTGGCTTATCTCTTTGTGAACAGTGTACCATGTAGGTTTTAGCAAGTGTGTTTTTCATTCATTGGCTTGCTTCCTGTTTACTGCAATCCAGAATACATGATAAGAATTGGACTTTGAGATTTGGCATCTGACATAATTTTATAACCTCTTTTAATACAGAAATTATAATAGTAAGTCAAAATGAGTTGTTCCTCATACTGGGGTTCTTACACCTAGAAATGTTGTATTAAAAAGGAAACACAAAATTTTATTTTGAAATAAAATTAGATTTACCAAAATGTTAGAAGAATACTATAGGAAATTAGCATCATTTCAATATTATTAACTATTCTACAGCTCTTATTTGAGTTTTGCTGGTTATCCCTTTCATGTCCTTTTTTGGTCGAAGAATCCAATTCAGAATACAAATTGCATGTGGTTGTCAAATGCCTTTAGTCTCTCTGAAATGTGACAATTCCTCACTCTTTCTTTGTTTTTAATAACATTGATACTTTCAAAGAGCACTGATTATATATGTTGTAAAATGTCCCTCTATGTGGTTTGTTTAATGTTTAATATTTTCCTTTTATTAGTGTGAGAAATACATTTTTTTCTCACAGAAGAATATAGATGTATTGGACCATCTTAAGCCTCAAAGTAGATGTTCATATCTTTTTACTGGTATGTTAACTTCAATAACTTGATTAAGATTGTGTCAATGAGGTTTTTTTGACAGTGAAGTTATCTGATTTTACCTTTGTAGTTGTGAGTACCTGGTGGAGCAATGCCTTGAGACTCTGTAGGTAGCTTGTTTCTCATCATATCTTCGTCCATTAATTTCAGCATCCAAAGATGGTTCTTGCCTGCAACTATTACTCTGGTGATTTTCTAGTTCCTTCATTCTTTTCATATTTATTAGTTTGAATTCCACTGTAAAGAACCATTCACTGTCCCTTCTCTCTCAAGTGTTTGTTTATTCAATTTTAAAAAAAATATTTTTCAGTTCTATGTGGACACAATAGAATTTTATTATATTTTATTTATTTTTACTGAGGATCAAACTCAGTGTCTTACATGCGCCAGGCAGGCACTCCACCACTGAGCCACACCCTAGCCCTATTTATTCGATTTTAAAATTATGTCAGTATGAATTTTTAGATATTTATTTGACTGGATGGGTTATAATTCAAGCACAGATAGTCCCTGACTTATAATAATTTAATTTATGATATTTTTATTTTTTTAATATTTATTTTTCAGTTGTAGTTGGATACAATACCTTTATTTTATTTATTTATTTGTATGTGGTGCTGAAGATTGAACACAATGCCTCGCATGTGCTAGATGAGTGCTTTACTGATGAGCCACAACCCCAGCCCCCATGTTTTTTTCCTTACTAGAAATGTTATATTCTTGATTGTCTTTTGGTTTTCCATGTTAGACTTTTTTGCCTTTTACCTTCTACAAATCTTACTATATTTCGACCAAGGTGAATACTTGGATATAAAGACATAGACTTATGTTCTTCAGTAGTAAGATAAGAAGACTGGAGTTAGATACTTGGAATAGTAGGATGCTTTTTTCAAGACTTGGCATTATCTTCTATTTCACTAATTAAATACTTGTTAAACATTTACTATTTGTTAGTCTTTTTGCTAATGTTAGGCATGTATTACTCCTTTCTTTGTTGAGGAAAAAGAATGTGGTAGATAGAACTCTGGAGGAGTTGATAGGAAGAAGGTTGTAATTTTTTTGCTACTTCAAATCTAGAAGTTATCTATATACATTAGAGTATTTAAAAACTGTCATCCTTAGAATAGTCAATGATTAGAAATTGACTTTCTGTTTTCTTGTTTAGAATTTTGTGCCATTTAGTCAAGCAACAGGCCAGGTACACAGGCTTCTCAACTTTCACATGGCAAGGATGTGGGGATTGTAAATCGGAGGCTATGTGTAGGATTCATTCAATCTGGATTTCCCAGATGATTATAGACAAGCTAGATACAGATCAAGCCTCCTAGATTACTTCCTTTAGATGAACTTTATCTCTGAAGTCATTGGGATTAGATCTCAGGAGGGTATTTTCCAGTAGCCTATACTGTAATTTTTGGCCTATAGAAAGTAGAGTGATATACTTCATTTGCTGTGTGCTCATATCTTATCATTTATGTTGCTTTGATTTCATCTTTCTGGGATCTTTAAATCAGTTATTGTTACTTCTAGGTCTGGGAATAAAGATTTTCAGATGAACTGTGGGGCACTTTATAGAGTAACTCTTTAGGTTTTACCCTACTTTGAATTTCTTTTTCTGATTTTCCTTTTAAAATTTATGTTTCTGCTTTGTGCTCATTTCTCTCTGTGTGTTTTTGGAGGTCTGGTCTTTTCTTAAGTTCCTTTGGTTCAATGAGATGATGAACAATTCTACTTATTTTCTCTTCCTTTCTGCCGCATCTCTTCTCCTGAAACCAGCATATCTTGCATTTTACTGCTCATATCTCACACATTAAGGATTTTCTTCTTTTCTAGGAAGCGGGTAAGCTTGGAGAACCAAAGGCATTTCAGGTGTGGATTGAAAGCTTAGGTGTGTGTAGTCAGAGGTGGCTCCCATTTTCTGACTGGATCTCAGTTTCTTTATCCATAAAATGAGCAATCAGATTAGATGACTAAGGTTTTCATGGGCCAGAAATTCCCATGAAAACAGTCCAAATGTCCATCAACTAATGAACAGGTAAACAAATGTGAAAGAAGCTTGTCATAAAATGTCACACATTATATGACTGCACTTCCATGGACATCTAGTATAGTCCAGTCCATCAAGACAGAAAGTAAATTAATGGGGGAATGAGAAATACTTGATAATGGGTATGGAGTTTCTTTTTTGGGGTGAGAAAAATATTCTAAAATCAGATAGTTGGTGATGGTTGCACAATTCTCTGAATATACTAAAAACAACTGAATTGTATACTTTAGAGTAAATGTTATCACATGTGAATTATATTTCAGTAAAGCTATGGTGTTAAAAAAAGCAACCTGTGAACCAGTGATGTTTAATGGCTGTTTGCAGATAGGATATAGAAATAAGTTTTTCTTTTTTAGTTTGTCACAACATTCTTCTCAGAGGTGAAGACCTGGCAGGGAACTGATGGCCGTGGGCTGGAGACTGCTTTTTGTCAGGTGGTACAAACCTGAACTTCTCACTTTTTATGCCTATCCTGAGAGACCATTTTTATCAACATTAAGTCATGTTGCTTCTTTCTGCAGATTCCCTTTTGAGTGCTCCCAAATTGCTGAACGTTTAGTTGAGTGTTTAAATGCAAATGGTTGAGCTGATGAAAAAAGTCTAAAATGAATCCACTAGTCCTGGCCCTGTCTGGACTAGCTTTGCCTGAAAAATATTTGAAATGGCATTTAGTGATATTTACTATTGTGTTAACTTTCTGTCACGATAATAAAATACCTGAAATAATTGACTTTTGAAGAGACAAGCCTTTACTTGGGTTTGCAATTTCTGTGACCATGTGGACACATTGCTTTTAGCTCTCTGGTGGGGGTGCTGGATGGCAGTTGTGGGGAAGCAGGTGATTGAGCAAACTGCTTACCTCATGGCCAGGAAGCAAAAAAAGAAAGAGGTTGGAGTGGGGTCCCCTAATCCTCTCTGGGGACATGCCTCCGTAACCTAAGGACATAATGGAGCTTTCACAAGGCCCCTCCTCCTAAAGGTCCACAGCATCCTTCAGTAATGCCACCCTGGGGACCAAACCTTTAACACAGGGACCTTTGGGGAACATTCAACATCCAAACTATAGTATTTATGGAATTTGCTTTCTTTAGTTTTAGAAAAAGAAATAAAAATATCTCAACTAATTTTAGCAAAATTGCTCTGCTGAAAATGATGTGAAAAACCTTGTTAATTAAGAGCATTGTTGATGTTTTCTTAAAATGTCTATTTTTTTATTGGTGCATTATAATTATACATAATAGTGGGAATCACTATGCCATACTCGTACATACACCTCACATAATTTGGTCAATTTTATTCTCCAGTACTTTCCTTTTTCCTTCCCTCCTCTTCCCTCCCCCTGATCTGTTTGCTCTGCTCTACTGATCTCTCTTCCGTTATTATTGTTACTATTACAATTAGTGCATTATTTCACACATACATAGAAAGAGTCATTGTGGTATATTTGTACATTGACATAGCATAGTTTGGTAGGTTTCATTCCCTGGTACTTCCCATGCCTTTCTCTACTCCCTTCCTATCCAACCCCTCCTTATACTCTATTGGTCTCCCTTCTATTTTCATGGGATCCCTCTTTCATTCCTCTCCCCCCAGCTTCTACATATGAGAGAAAATATTTGACCCTTGACTTTCTGAGACTGGCTTATTTCACTTAGCTTGATATCCTCCAGTTCCATCCACGTACCAGCAAATCACAGAATTTCTTTTTTTGTGTGTGTGTGGTTGAGTAAAGCTCCATCGTGTACATACCACATTTCCCTCATCCATTTGTCTGTTGAGAGGCACCTGGGATGGTTCCCCAACTTGGCTATTGTGAATTGCAGAAATATCTAGTTTTTATTAACATTAATTATGCAGATTAATGAGATCCACTGTGATATTTCCATACATGCATACAGCATACATTGATCATATCTGTATCCACCGTCTACTCCTGCACTCTCCCATGCTTC